ACATGAAGACTACAGTACTGTATGAGTGAAGTGGAAAGACATAAACTCCTTAATACAGGTATTAGAGAATATTCAACTCATTTAGACTAAACCTACACAACCATCAAATCAATGCCATGGTATCCATGGGAAACGTGACGTTAGGCCAGGGATGAACCGATGCCAGGCCTGCCTGTTATCTATGTGTACATTACACTATATTTTGCTGAACACCTAAACTAACATATCGCTGATGAGGTGCAGGTGCTCTCCCGTTGATTCCCATTGATTTGATGGTTGTGTAGGTTTAGTCTAAATGAGTTGAATATTCTCTAATACCTGTATTAAGGAGTTTATGTCTTTCCACTTCACTCATACAGTACTGTAGTCTTCATGTCATTTATTATTGAGTTATTTTTATTGCAAATTATAATTATAAGAGTGAAGAAAAAAACAGACACAACTTTTTCTTGAATCGCTTTAGAGATAAGAAAATTGTTTGTTTTTGATTTTGCATTTTATTTAAGAATCACATGTTTTGTAATTTAGTATTTTATAAAATTTATTCCTTCAGAACTTGTTTAAAATGCAAATATATTTATTTGAAAATATTCCTGTAGTCTAAAGGATAATAAATATGAAATTTATCAGCATTTATATCATATTTCGCATTTAAATATACATATTTTACATTAATGTAATTCAAGAATACTTGTTGGTAATTTAAGAGTTGTCTGACTATTAATGCAATAAAATAGTTTATTGAAGGTTAATATCACCAAGATATATTTTATGCACTTGGATTAGTTGAGGTGATAATAGTGGTAACGACTTCTGCAAACGCTTATAATTGCAACGAATAATACAATTTAATTTTATAAGCAATTGAAAACATTTTTTATTTAAAACTTTTTAATAACTATTTTTAATTTTGTTAATTTTAATTCACATTAAATACTGTTAGAAATATTATGAATATTATTTGATATTAAAAATGTTTAAGCATTTAATTTACTAATTTTGATTAATGAATAGAAATAGAAATATTTGCTGTAATTAACATTCAATCGTATAAAATATATTTTATTTTTTAAGTTTTATTCATTTAGAAAATAATTATTTATTTGTTTTTGTTTACTATTATTGTTAATGAATAGATTGAAAGCAATTATATTCACAAACGACCAGAAAGTATGAAATTTACAATACATTTAATGCTACGCTTCGTATAAATAGCTATTTATAAAACACTTTATAATTATAATCAGACTTAAAGTGTGTTTACAATTAGATTATAAAATGCTTATATTTGGTATCAAAACACAATTTGTACTCAAATTTGTTTTATATACTAAAGTTAACTCTAATTACATTTTTTTATACATTTTTGTATAAATAGACAAAACACTTATTTATAATTACAAAATCAGAACTAAACGTAAATATAATGTTAATTATAATTAGAAATATTTATAAATGAATGAAATAATAATACATTACTAACTAAGCAATGGCTTAAATGGCAAAAAACAACATTAAAACACATACAAAACGGACATTAATTATAAATAAAACAAAGCGATCGTTTGGTCCCCACCGTCGGCACAATGTCTGAGCGATTGGCCATCACTTGGGCTGACCATTGGGTCGTCCGTTGAGCTGTGCGTTCAGCCGTTCGGTCAGTATATCTGCGGCCGTAAACGGCGACCAATCGGCGCGTATGAGTGCGTCGACCACATGGCAGGGGTCGCACTCCGGGAACAGCTGAAGCAGCTCTTTGACCGCCAGTTCGCACATCTCCTCGAAAGCCATGCGATCCAATTGGTCGGGCATTTCTTCGTCAACGCGGCTGCAGCTCCTCATTGGCTGATCCATGGGTTCCCTCTTCACCACACCGTTCACGCCGTTGACAGCGGCCGACACGGAGGCCATGGCTGCGGCCGAAGAGGCGGAGGTCGAGGGCTCTGTCTTAATGACGGACACCGTCTGTGCGGCCAAACCGTTGTTACCATTGTTACGATCGTTGCGCTCGCAGTCGCTGTTCCGGTGGTTATTGTCGTCGTCGATGACCTCCCGTTTGATGATCACTGACTTGTGGTGATTGTTGTGATGGTTGTCACCCATTGTCGCCGTTCTTGTGGTGGTTGTGGTAGTCGTGGATGTGATTGTGGTTCGGGAGGAATGTCTGGAGACGTGTGTTTCGGTGACCAAAAGGGCGGACAAAGACAACAACTGATGAAATGATTTCTTGTTATTGTGTTTGGCTTTTAGTGAATGCAATGAATGAAAACATCATTTGTTGTCAACACTAAACGTATCATTCATTCAACGCTTTGAGACATTCATTGAACGCAACACTCATTCAAAGCCCAAACGCGCCAAACATTGCATTACTTTTTAAACGCACTTTTGGTTTGTTTTTCAATCAATTATTTGAATTGTCATTACTTTTAATCACATATTAATTAATGTAAAACGCATTCAAATATAATAATTATTGCAATTTGTGGCTAATGTTAAGCCCAAGTGATCGCACAACTCATCCATTGATTACATACAAGTGATTGCATTCAAGATTTGCTGTAAGTTTTTAAACAACTTTTTTTTATTGAATTTAGTTTTAATTGATATTGAATTGCATTACAGATGTCTTCGTGTAATGAAATGAATGGCGAATTAGATTACAGAAGGGATTCATTCGGTGACAGAATATGCGATGATTTGTGCGAAGAAGTGTTGAAATGGTTACCACTTGAGGACAAGTTTGGACTCGAGTCGGTCTGCAAACAGTTCCAGAGGTGTGTCTATAGAAGAGTAGACACTCTTGTGGTGTCCTTAATAAGGCTCACAAACGAAGACAAGTTTGAATGTCTGTTGAGGAAGTGTCACAATATTGGATACATTCACATATCTCTTGAAAGTCTGTGTCGTTGGCATCCATTGACTGCGGAGGACATCAATCAAGTCTTCTTTAATCGCTTAATTGAGTTAATCATTAAATACTGCAATCATTTGACAAGTTTTACACTGGATTTGAATCGTATGACTGATGAGACTTACCGTCGATTTTGCGATAAGTTTGCCAAAAGTGTCACAAGTATTGACTTAACCAACGATTACGAGAACATCGATAAACACCTCAAAGTGTTCGCAAATATCAAGACATTTAATTCTCCCGTAAATCTGATGTCACTGTTGGATGAAAACCATTGTTTAGTGAATAATATGACAAAATGTGTAATGAATTTAGACGCCGTTTATAAGTTGTCGATATTTGTTGACCACAACCATCGGCTCCGTGTGTTACACATCAATACCCACGGAATAGCTGATAAAGATATTACTTATATTTACCGACAAATATGTGGTCTAAAACACTTGGAAGTGTTGAAACATAAAGAATTTACGACCGTTGAGATGGGCTATCGCTCGGCCAAAGAGGCATTGATAGAAGTGGCCAACAATTGTCTTAAATTGAGACAACTGTCTATCGATTGGCAAATAAACATTGATAAACATCTGTTATTTGATGCCTTCAAACACTTTAAACGCTTACAGCGTTTGAATGTTTCGCTTGAGTTAAGCTACGATTTATGCTCAAACATAACGAGCAAAACGTTTAGTCAATGCAAACAATTAAAGCACTTATCCTTAGATATATTGTTCCGTGATTTTGATTTCTCCGATGAGTTCTTCGCCGACATTGACATACATTTACCGCAAATACAGTCTCTGTCTCTACACGTAAAAAATCTTGCGATCGATGGTATCAATAGTATCGCCAAACTTAAGAAACTCGAGAATTTGATCCTCGAGTCGATGGATGTGTTAAGTGATGAACACTTTTACACAATACAAGACAATTGTCCCAAAATAAAGTGCATTTGGTTTATTGCCGAGCCCGGTTTATCAGAGATCGTGTCGTGGATTATCAAATCAAATGATCCGCAACTCATGGATAAGCCAGAGATGGATGAATATAAGTATAATTGCAAATACACTCACTATTACTTAAATAATGGTCGAAGTGTTTTAAATGCCGAAGGAATCGATAATTAGTGTCATATCTATTGTTAATATTTTCCTAAATTTAATTCATGTTTAGATTTAATAAAATCATTTGAAATTATTGCTGAATAAATAAAACAAATTATTTTCATTAAACAGTAATTTAATTCAATAAATAATATACAAAACCGTAAAACAATTTGACGGTATAAGAGATGATTTGATAGTAAATATATACATAAGACATAGGAATAAACATTTATATTATTCTAAACACATGTAGATTCTGTAGATTCTATAATATAGAGAATTACAGAATATATAGAATTGGCTTTCAGTGAATGCACTGAAAACATCATTTGTTGTGAACACAAAAACGTGTCATTCATTCAATGCTTTGAGACTTTCATTGATTTTGAATCATTTTTCAAATATTATTCGAATTTAAGTCAATTTTACGACACAATTAAAAATTTGATAATAATAATTATAGGTTTACTTATAACAGTAACAGTGGTGTTAAGCCGAGTGCCCATTACTGTAAACATAGGTGTGATTTAGTTCACTAATTGCTGTAATTTTTAAATATGATTTTAAATAAACATTTAGTTTTAACTGATATTGAATTGCATTACAGATGTCTTCGTGTAATGAAATGAATGGCGAATTGGATTACAGAAGGGATTCATTCGGTGACAGAATATGCGATGATTTGTGCGAAGAAGTGTTGAAATGGTTGCCAATTAAGGACAAGATTAGACTCGAGTCGGTCTGCAAACAGTTCCAGAGGTGTGTCTATAAGAAGGAGTATTTTCTGGACACGGATTCACTGTTTAAACGAAAGAAAGATGTCGTCTCTTACAAGACAACCAAACAATTAAATGCGAAAAACTTTGAATGTTTGCTCAAAAAGTTTCCCAATATTACTAACATTGAGATGACTTACGCGACTCTCATCGACGCAAAGCTATACAATCGCTTAATTGAGTTAATCATTGAATACTGCAATCGTTTGACGAGTTTTACGCTGGATTTGAATCGTATGACTGACGAGACTTACCGTCGATTCTGCGATAAGTTTGCCAAAAGTGTCACAAGTATTCACTTTCCCGACGGACACGACATTGAGAAAGACCTGAAAGTGTTTGCAGACATCACAGAAGTGGATGTCTCTCAGGCCTCAAACTCTCCCATCAGACTTAATGTATTGTTTAATGGAAAGCACTGTTTGTTCAATAATATGACCAAATGTACCATTAGTTTCAATATGTCTTATTGTAAGGATCAGCTGAAGACACTCTTGGATAACAATCACACACTACGAGAGTTTTATATTGAGACCAATTACGTGAACACTGATAATTGGATTTACATTTACCAACAAATATCAAATCTGAAGCACTTGGAAGTGTTCGGTCATTCAGACGCAGCGCTTGACAATATCAACACAAAAATTGTCAGACAATCGTTGACACAATTGGCAAACAATTGCAGTAAATTAAAAAGATTATCACTCGATATACCTTTGGATTCAAGCCATCAATGGTTATTATTTGATGCAATCAAACACTTTAAACGTTTACAGCATTTGTATATTTCTCTGCATATGAGCGACGATTCACTGGATTTACTCACATTTCGGTCAAACATAACGAGCAAAACGTTTAGTCAATGCAAACAATTAAAGCACTTGTCGTTAATGTTATTTCACAGGGAATTTGATTTCTCCGATGAGTTCTTCGCCGACATTGACATACATTTACCGCGACTTCAGTCTATGAATCTAAGAGTGGAAGACATTACGGTCGATGTGGCCATCAATAGTGTCGCCAAACTTAAGAAACTTCAAGACATGACTTTCTATACGTCGGATGTGTTAAGTGATGAACACTTTTATGGAATACAAGACAATTGTCTCAAATTAAAGACCATTGAATTTATGATCGAAAATGAGTCGACAAACACATGGATTATCAAATCAAATAATCCGCAGCTCTTGGATAAAGAATATCTGGATTTCTATAAATATGACAATCATGTGATTCACTATTACCTGAATAATGGCACGAGTGTTCAAACAGGTCTCTACAACAACCCTTATATCTAAATTTGTATGTTTCAAATTAATTATCAATTGTCAATCAAAATGTCGATTATTTTAATTTGAAATTATTGCTGAATAAATAAAACAAATTATTTTCATTAAACAGTAATTTAATTCAATAAATAATATATAAAACGTAAAACAATTTGACGGTATAAGAGATGATTTGATAGTAAATATATAAGACATAGGAATAAACATCTATAGTAAACAGAATTGCAATATATTTGATAACATCCCAAAAATAGACCTTAAAATTATTGTTTAAAAACTAATCAATCATTTGATTTAACGATATCTTTATGTTTAAGAAGTGATATATTGTTGATATACTGGCGTTCAATGAGTTCGGAGAGTGCGGTCTCTTTGCTCTGTTCGTCAATCTTCTCGACTAATTTCATGCAAACCTCTTCGATGTCTTTGTTATTCAATCTCAACAATAGTGTCAAATGGGATAATATCTCGACGTAGAGCTGCAGCTGGAGCTCAACGTCCAATACATTAGACGCTATTTTACAGCATTTGTTAATGCATTTCATTAGTTCCGACTCAACCTCATTGGTCTTGTTGTTGACGTACAGCAGACTCGCCGCCAAAATGGCCCGAATTTGGTCCGATTTCTTCACAAGTTTGGCGCCATTCAGACAGCACTGGCTCTTCAGTGGACTGTAATTATCTTCAATTTCAAACTCAATGTCTTTAACAGTGCTTATGATCAGCAAAAGGCAGAACAGCTGTGACTTGGAATCGTTGATCTCTTCCTCGTATATACTGAAGGCCTGACTGATGAACTCGTAGGCAATGGTCTCTCGATTCTCGACACCGGTTTTGGCAGCGTTTTGGGCCGATTGGAGGTATAGTTTGAGACACAGTTCGCAACAATTACTCTCTTTCATAAGCGAACCGATCATCTTATTGACGAACTGGAAGACCAGTTGACACTTCTTCTCCCACTTGTCGTCCTTGTCTTCGCCGTCGGCGGCGCTCTGGCCTTCGGCCGAGAATCTAAGCGCCAGTTTGAACGCCTCGAACACCAGCGACGGATAGGTATAGCGGATCCGTTTGGGTCCGCCGGCGGCCAGCGTTTTGCGGAACGCCTTGAGTAGGAGGAAGTAGTTGCCGGTGTGTTCGCTCTCTTGCATCGCTTGCGGCAGAAACAGGAAGTGTATGAATCGCGACAACAATAACTGCTCGTCGATAAAGTCCTCGTCGTTCTCGTCTATAACACCGATGTCTCCGTTCTTGCCGTTGATTAGCGGATCGCATATCTCCGACAGGAATGTCTCGATCTCCGCCCGACTCAGTCGGTCCTCTTCGGCCACCGCTTCCACATCCGTGTTGTGCTCCAAAGCGCTGTTTATTAGACTCAGTGTCACCTCTTTGTGCAGATCGTAGGCCGCCGTCTGTTTCAACAGATCCTACAACAAAACAAAACATAATTATTTTTAAGACAGACTACATTTTAAGACAAATGAAGGCATACTTTATACGCTTTGAGTTTTAGACTCATTTTGATGGGCGACAGACCCGTCACGCCATTAGTTGATCCGCAATTGAGTGGAAGTTTGAAGAATTTGAACAACTCTTTGCCTAAATTGCTTCTGAGCGGTACATTCGTCTGGTTCTTGTCCTTAATTACTGTCAACGCGTTATCCAACACACAATTGACACTCTCTTCGCGTTTACTCACATCGGAAATCTTCTTCAGCGAGAAGTTAATCAACGATCCCTTCATGAGTACAATGTCTTCGAGTGAGATGTCGTTTCTGGTTGTGATGATCTGCGAGATCTGTTTGGCGAAGATGTCGAACAGATCGGCGGGCAGTTCGATGTCTTTGCTCATCGCCAGCCTATCGATCAAAGCGATGATAATGTTCTTCACGTTCACATTCTGTGTCAACTGTGCGCACGAACTCAGGAACGGCTGAAGAGTTGCCAAATGAAACTCGTCGGGAAACACTTGGATCAGACACTCCATCAGGTATTCCTGGGCTATCGAGTCCCGGCACGAGACCACTTGTTCCAGAATACCCGGCAATACAACCTTCTTATACACCTCCAGGTCTACCGATTCCAACTGCGAGAGTCGGACCTATTGTTTAGAAAAACTTAAATTAGTCTCAAATAAAAGGGCGAATGAATAGTAAATTCATTACCAGATTAGTGCCGACGAGAAGCCTGAGTTCGAGCCGCTCCTTCTCGCGCCTGTCCTTCTCTCGGGTGTGTCCGATGTGTTGCATACGAACCCATAGTTTGTTCATTTCGGCAAAATTCAATAGAATAAAGTCAATCGAGTCCTGAACACAACCGGGTCTGTCCTCCTTCACGTCGCCCGACGATAGTATCACGTCTTCGGTCACATCAGGCAATACATTACGACACGATTGTAGCAAATAGTTGCGCAAAAACAGGCCTCTGAGCGGGTGCTGAACGCCTGGCAACGGGTTATCACAAAAATCACTTTTAGGACAAACATTGCCTGACATTTGACAATCGGGTGACAAACCTCTGCACATCTCCACCAAGTCTTTGAGTATGTCTTTACGACAACCGGGCGTTGTCTTCATGTACACCAAACCGACGGTAATCAGTAAATACAGTCGCGGAATGATATTACCGGCGTATTGGACCAACTCGTAGAGGTCGGCCATTTTGCGGCCCCTCTGGAACTCGTCCAACAGATACATCTCCAGATGTCTCAACTGATCCGTGACCGACATATACAGCTCGTAGTAGGACTTCGGCGACAGCAACGATGTCCGCAACTCAGACAACATGTTTGACGCGTGTTTCAGCGCTTCCATCAGTTTGCCTGTCATTCAACAAAATACGGATCAGTTATTATGTGATAACAATCTCTTCGGTCCAAACATTACAAGAGTTTTAAACAAAGTTTTGGGCAAAATCTTTAAAAAGAAACTCAAAAAGCAATAAAATATGTGTTGACACGTGTTATCAATATTTCAAGTGTCAATACAAAGGCCGACACCGAGACTGACAACCGGTGGATCAGCTCAGAGAGTGACACTCGACTGGCAATAGTCACGTGTCAACAAGTGGTTGACGAGACGATAGTGTGGATCAAATGGTGACAAACCTTTATCGAGACAACACTTCATCTGAAATGACTGCACTTTCACGACTCCGAGCGAGTCGTCCAACAGCTTCTCCTGTTGTTCTTCGGTAGGGCTCGCCATCGGTGTCGTCCTCTCCAATGGCATTGTCTTCTTCGGCGGTATGTCTTCTTCTGGAGGTAATGG